GCCGGCATGCTCGCCGTCCCCCTTCGCCATGCCAAGCGTTGCCCCTTCCCTCCCCTCGCTGTGTAAATTTTGTACAGTTGAAAAAAAAGTGAGAGTCTTGTTTCCTGGAAAAAAAATCACAAATGACAAAAATAATAATAATAATAATAAAAACATCAAAGGCTGCAGCCGTATTTATTGCCATATTGCCGGACTGGGCAGCCTTGCTGCCGCAGGGAAGGCCCTGGGTGCGGGCACGTCTTCCGCCAGCGGCTGCCCTCCGTGGTCTCCTCTTCGCGTGGCCGCCGCTCCCTGGCGCCCATCGGGAGGGTGTCAGGCCGGGCCTCCCTGTGCCTCATGCTGCTTCTTTAAGCCTTTTAGCGCCCTTTGCACCCCATTCCCCACGCTAATCTGGTTATCAGCAGCAAGGGCAGCCGCTGCCCAACACCCCGTGCCTGCACCCGGGGCTGGGCACCCCAAAAACACCCCACTGAGCGCCTGCGCGTCACGGGTCTGAGCCAGGGAAGCGTGAGGCCGGCAGGGCCGAGTGCTGCCATCGGCCCCGGTGTGCTGGCTTTCTGTATTTTAATCATTTTAACATTTAATGCTTCTCAATTAAAGTGATTTCCTGGAGTAGATGCCAAGCTTAGTCCGAATGCACATTAACCACTTTCTGTATCGGTAGTTAAAGGCACCGGGGGATTTAAACAGCAATCCGCAAGGCTGCTGGGGAAAGGGTTGGCTGAATAAAGCAGATTAGAAACAATAATATATGTCTTTCTCATTTTGCCCCCTTCTTTATTTATTTTTTATTTTTTTTGGAAAAGCTCCAAACTCGCAAACAGCTCTAAAGTGCTATAAACATTTCCAGGGCTAAGCGCTGAGCCCCCAAATGTACTCCCTGAAAGCAGGGAAGGCCTGGCCGCTGCCACTCTCCGATTTGCTTTCCAGAGAGCTTTTTTATTACCCAAAACGTCCATCAAGCCAAAGTTGCCTTCGCGGCATGTAAATAGGGCAGAGAAAATAAATCCCTCATGGAGGGGGCTGCACGTTGAGGCAACACACAGAGGTCACCTCTCGGCTGGGACCTGGGACCCCAGGCGCAGAGGTCAAGGCAGCTCTTGCATCTTTCCCACTGAACAAACCTCTCCCTGCAGTGATTGGAAATGGCCCTAACGACTGAACTTGGGTGGTTCCTACGTGCCGGGAAGAGTATTAATGTTTATCAGCAGCTTTCTTCCAGCCTGTCTCCAGATCCAGCTATTTAGGGGCTGCTTTTCTACATTAGCCTCTTGTCTGCTGCGACTCTGTGCTGGTGCTTTGGCTGCTGAGTGGCGACTGGCGGAGTTCAAGTCAGTTCAGCAAACGGTGTCAGCAGCAGCCGAAGCTGGCAAGGGGCTGCAGCAGCCACGAGGGGCCAAAAAGCATGTACGCCGTTTCCAGCCGGTCTTTAGAAGAGGGAGCATTCCCATTTATTTTCCTGAGCCTGGATGCACTGCAGAAAGGCGGGAGCAAAGAGTGCAGCAGTGCCCTGCAGTGAAGCCTGCAGCCGAGGCGCGCAGCCACCGTGGGTGCTACGTGATGGAGACGTGGGGAAAGACAGACAAGACAAACACACCGGGATGCCGGCTCAACGCTGTGCTTTTCTTTATTCGTAATACTTTTGTTTGGGCCCAGGGGAAAAAACAATCCAAAACTCAAACCCCACTGCAGAGCTGAGCATCTCACCTGCCCTGGCAGCTCCTCGCACTGAGGTCCCCTTCGGGCAGCACGTCCTCTGGTGAGACACCCAATGTGGCAGTTGTGTTTAACATACTGAAACATCTGGGGGCTTCTCCAGGCCTTCTCTGCCCTCCCTCCCCACTCCCTGCACGCGGATACGTCTCAGAGTGTGCAAGACCCTGATCCCACCCTGCACACAGACCTGGTAAGACAGCTCGCAGCTCGAAAGCCCTCCCGACCCTCCCGCCTGCGCTCCCCTTCGGACCCCGGGGCGTTTTGGAGGGCTGGGGGGAGAGGAGGGGCGTTAGTGCAGGTGGTGTCCGTCCTCTGGGGCCCGCGCGCGGGCTGCCCGGCCGTGGCGTCAGGCCTTGCCGGCCGTGTGCTGCTGCAGCGCGGACACGATGGCCTTACAGTCCGTCACCTGCTCGGGCAGGCAGCCGTCCTGGTCCCGCAGCGTGGGGTTGGCGCCCGAC